CTTAAAAGTCTTACATCAACTATATTTGGCTTGATTATAAGGCTCGCAGGACTCTATTTGAGCTTTTGATTCAAAAACATTGCAATGATTTCCTTTAGACATGGGATGGGATCATTGGGATGATGACAGGGTATGAAAATTAAAAATATAATTAGTCCGTGGGCTAGGTAATAAAAATATTAGACACGTATTTTTTTTTGTCGTATAATAAAACAATACTTAGTTAAAACGAATCAAAGTTTAAGAGTGGGGGCTAAAACGTTATTTCTACGTATAAAATGTACACAGAAGTGACGTCACGCGACATTTTTAATCAATATATCGTCGAAAGTATTCGTTTCTGTAAGAAAATAAAAACTACGTGTCTAATGATTTAAAATCATCTACCAGACGGACATGAAAATAAAAATTAGACATCTACCCTATTAATTATCGCGGAGAACCTAACGGGTAACCGGGGCTCCGGTTCGACGTGCAGGAGAAGGAACGGGGTGGTTTTTAGTCAGTAAGAGTCTGACACTCCCTTCCGCCTCACCCAGGCGGGTGGCAGCAGTCATTCGATGATTTTCCCCTCTTAAAAAAAAATAAAAGAAAAAAAAACCTATTAATTAGGAAAGTGTGGTAACAATCTATGTTTGTGCGTAGGTAACATTATTTCGAATCATTGAGGATTCTCAAATAATTATAATGTCAAGGTCTTTCTCCCTACCGTTCATTGCACCCATATTGCACCACACTCGTGGCAAGTAACGCTATAAGGTAATGTTTATGGATTTATATAAAAACATAAATAATGCATAACCAAGTTGTACGTAATTAGTATTTTTATCCGATCATTATTAGTTGCAACATTCAAAGAAAATATTTTATTCCAATGCTATGATGATTATTAAAAAAAATCTCATGTAATTCTCACAATGTACCTAAGTCATTAGGAATATCTTTAAGGACTATTTTTCTTTGCTGGCTATTGTCGTAATTCTATTCCTTGGCTTAGGGCTTTTCCATAAATCCTCTAAGAGCACCCAGCGACTTAAATACCGTTCTTCGACTATTGTTGCAAACGATCAAACAGATTTGAACTCTAAGTGAGTGGGAAAGTCATTTTCCGCTAAGCTATTAGTAGGTTTAGCTAGTCATTGTCAAGCGATATTTCTAATCGCTAGAAACGGTTCGAAGAAATGTACTTTTTGTTTAAGCTCCAGTAGAGAGCATTTTTGAATGGAATGTTCTCGAAGTTTCTAGTTTAATTAAAATTCTGTTTGTGTGTTTGCTAAGAATATATGAAGACACCTAATATTGTACACAGGGTATATCATATCAATTGAAGAAACAAGCAAGTTTTTCGTAAGAATCTACATCTGTTATTATTCTATGTGATCCTGACCTACTGTTACCTAGTAGTACCTAAAAGGCTTATGCAGTATGATTCGTGCCCACGTTTCGGAAGATTACACACATAAACAGTTCATTATCTCTTATTAATTTGTCCTTGAAATATCTATTTCCATCTTAACACATTATCAAAACAAATTTCTAGGACAATTTACAGATATAAAAACGTTCTAGATGCGACAACTTTTACTTTTGTTCACGATCGGGTGATAGTTTGCAAAAAATTGAAGAGAAGTACGCTCAATGTGGCATTCTATTGTGAATAGTTAAGTGGGTATTAGAAGAAGCCTAGTTTAATACAATGAGAGGTTCGGGTCAGTGGGTGACACATCTAGAGCGGTGGTACCGTTAGCCGTGGTACGGGTACTCAGCTCGGCGCATACGCTGTATTGAGCTCTCTACTAATAACATTGTTTATGCACTTACCTGTCTGTTATTGACATGACTGAGATTAACGGCTTCTGTTAAATAGAAATATATTATTATAGGTGTTGGATTAGTTTATTTTTTCTTGATTTAATGTAAACGCTAAAATTTTAAAACATTATCATCTGTCTTAATGAATGTTCAACTTTATTGTTTTACTATTAAGTTAAAAATTCTATTGCAAGAACTTAAAAGTTTGTTAAATTAATTGTAGCTTGTGTAGGCTTTTGTACCTATATAGAGATTTAATATTTACTTTGCAATAAATCTTTACGTATTACCTTGCAATTATCTCGTCTAAAAAAGTTGTCTCGAATTTACGAGTGAGAATACAATATACTAAATAAACATCAGTTTTGTTTTAAACAAGAAAAACTTGTATATTTCCATGTTTGACAATGACTTATTGATTTTTGTTCGAGTAAATATAAAATTATTGTAGAAAATGTCAATGTCATGTGGGGTCGAACTTGTTTTGTGTCATACATGCAATAAGATAATTTAGAAAAATAAGAGGACCTAAGTTATTAGAAAATGACAACTATCTGTACCATATTTACGCAAATAAATATTTGGTTATAAGGTAAGGTCAATACTTTTTGAATTTGAATTTAGAATTTTATCTTACAAAAGATGATTAATATAAGTAGTTTCAAAGACCAAGACATAACAATCCTATCTTTGAAACGAGTCAAGGACTTAATATTTACTTTTTGGCATAAGGTATTATTATAGGACAGCCTGTATAGCCTGTATTTCAGAGATTACACCCATCTATCAAGCGTAGACGCATAAAAAGCCTGAACGAACATTTTAAATGACAAGACTTAACAACCATGTTGACAGCCTCAAACATGTAGGTAATAAAGATTACATTATTATGAGATTTATCTACACAATATTTCGTGAATAACATAGCATAAATATCCTGTATGTTGGTTCCTTTAAGGGTGTGAAGAGATCTTTGTATTTAACCCTTAGAGTGCCGCTTCAGTCACCGGTACCTTACGCTAGTACTGATGCACGATAGTTTGACTGTCACCATTTTAAACGCGGCAGTTAAAGTGTTAACTGACTTCAAAAAAAGAAGGAGGTTATTATAGAACTATACTTTAATCTATGCCTATCTGTTATGTCACGTTTATTGTCATTTTCTGATTATCTTCAGCAAAGATCTTCAGTTTATTAAAAAAACGAGTTGAAACGGATTAACAGAAACTTAAGTAAGATATTATAATAACATCCATACGACACAGGAGAAAATCCTAACGTAAGGCAACGCCTTTTTAATACAATAATTCTAAATTAACTAAAAATCGCGGGTTACTCACGTGAAGCTACTATGAAAAGCTCTACTATAGTCAGAATTTTAATTAGATTCCAGATTTGACAATACCTACTGTCATTTTGTGAAATAATGATACCACATATAAATAGTGTAGTGATGAACACAAAAATCGAAAAACAATCAGTGTGTGTATTTTAAAATAAATGTTACAGAAAGTGACAGGATAGCGACGGCGACAATTTATAAAATAACTTATTACCATAATACATCTATCTGTTTTATTGTCATGTTCCTTCATGATTACATTTTTTTATTTATTTCACACAGAATTATAAAAGAAAAGTCTCAGATCGTTAATAAATCGTCAAAACTAAATTATCGGTTCAGAAATATTTAATTTCCTGATATACTTAGTTTACGGGAATAAATAATAAACGAAAAGAATCGATCCAGAAATATTGCATTTCCATATCGAATAATTTCGCAACGTCACTATTTAGTACTTGTCATAACGTTGCAACACTGAAATTGTCAAATCTGGAATCGAATTAAAATTCCGAGTATAGTTTATACAAAGAGTAGGCTGCGTGACATCGCTGCGACCGCGCACGCTGTGAACCCCTCTGTGATTGGAAACCAGTAGAGCTTTTCCCAGTGTTTTCACGTGAGTAACCCGTGATTTTTAGTTAATTTATTATAGTATGTCTCACGATAGTTAATATAATCATTTCTGAAGTTGAGACTCCATATCCGAAGCTGTGGACGGCTTAGCAGGATACCGGGGCTCCGGCGCGAAGCAGAAGTAGGGATCGGGTGGTTTTTAGTCAGTAAAAGTTCAACACTATCTCTCGTTTCACCAAAGGCAGGAGAAGTCATTGGGTGATTTTACCCTACAAAAAAAAGACTCAACGTATTGCAATATTGCAATATGATATTTGTTTAATGTTTATTTAAATAATTTTAGATGTGGTTGCAAAGTAGATATATACAATCGTGAAATTAATATCAGGAGGCAATCTGATACTTAAATTTTCCTACTCAAGGAAGACATTCCTGTATTTATGTATATAAGACCATCGGAGAAGGAATGTGGAACCGATTTCAATCTTATCCGTTATATCTTGCATACTGGTAACATTCGCACGATTTTCAACCATATTCCTTTACAATTTAGTTGAAAAGGTATTAAAGAGAGTACATACAAATTGGTATACCTTGATGTGCGACGGAATATAGGCAAATGTACCCACCAGTTAGATAGTGCCTGACAATTAATTTACTTCGTAGATATGTATTATGAACCTGTTATCTGATAGGAGAACTGGTTGGAATTCTTATTATAAACTAGGTGCTGCCTACGACTTCCGAAGCGAATCCCGTTGCATTTTTAAAAACCTTAGCCTTACATTTACACCTTAATAACGAACACATATAAGAAAGAATTAAACAATTTAGTACCGTCGTTGAAGTTGTGCGCGTACTTACATTCATTTTTATTATTTGTAAATTAAAAAACTTGCTTAAATTTAGTGTCGTTTATTTGTAAACATTCTCGGGAAGGTTAAGCTTTATTAAGGTCTTGGTTTTTTACAAATCCCTTAAAGGGTTTAAAAATAAATTTTAGTCGTAAATATTTTCTACATTGAGCTTAATAACGTAACATCAGATTTTTATTGTCTATCTGAAAGATTAGGTTAGCCTACTTTATGATTTTACTGATTTTGGAATTGAATTAGAACTCCTTCGACATTAGTGGTTGCAATTACGAGACTACGTGCTTAGGTATAAACCTCATATTACCATTCCCGAAAGAAAATTCGAGTGATTATTTTTAAGGTTTACCTTTCATTACAATAAATATTAATTTTGCTCTTATTTCTGTTGTCTTAAGCTTCAAAATGAGAGTGATACTGGCGACGTTGGCCGTCCTGGCGGTCTTTACGACTGCAATTGAAGGTAAGAACATTTTCTTCTTAACTAAATAGGAAATTGAGGACTGGGAAATTATTTTCATACGTAGTTAGGGACAAAGTAAAAACAGTAAAACCTTATGGTTGAACAAACCACAAAGTCTATGATGAAGAAGGCTAGTGACGTTGCTTTACAAAAATTGAGAGTTATTATAAATGTTGGTATTGATTCATTTTGTTTACCTATGAAATTGCCGTTTTGCAGTACTGGCCATTTCAAATCAAAATAATTTTTGTTTGGCTAAAAATTCTAATTTCAAATTAATTAAATTTTTAAAACATGGATTTTTCCTAACAGTAGCCATTTGTTTATTGATTAGTGTTACATTTTCATCGCATCCGTTAAAAATTCGAGTATTCATGGAATACGAGTACCGTCGTGTCAGCAATTAGTATAAAAATAACTTCAATAAAGCAATAGTCAGTTAAATGAGACAGAATTAAGTAATTACTTCGTCGACGTTGTTGCATTTATTTAATGTAAAAAATACAGATGATATATGAACAAAATGTAACACGCGACTAGTCAATGGAAAGGCAATCTCCCAAAATAATCAACTGTCTACCCACACGATTTGAGGTGGCTTATCTGACAATAGAGCTGACGGCTTACCCATTGGTTATATCAGCCGACCGATGGATTAACGGGTTTCATAACAAAGGGTGAGACGACATAAATCAATCTCCTGGTTAACTGCGGACTAAGTTGGGGTTTAACCTCGGTTATCTTGTGTTCTGACTATCAGACAAACTTATCGCTTATCTATCTCTGTTGTGACAATAAACTGGAGAGATTTGTCTGAATCGATATTAAAGCGTTAGTGAGTTGTTCTCACCTAAGTATTTCGGATATATTTGTACAGTAGGTATTTATTTGAAATTTGCCGGCATTTGGCCACTATGTGTATGTATTTAAAAATAGTGTAGAAGAATTAGGTTTTTCGACGTTGCAGGTTTATAAATGTACAGAGATTTACAACGTTTTGTCTTTAACATCTTCACAATTCTTTTGATCCTAATAAAGGGACGTTCTTTCGTAGAATTCCATCTACGAAATAAAAAAACGTAACAACTAGATCAGCTTTTTAATAATACTTATAATCTTCTATTTTCTTTTTTATCTAGCGGACAGCAAAGCGCGCATAGTATGCTACTTCAGCAACTGGGCGGTGTACCGGCCTGGCGTAGGTCGCTATGGCATTGAAGACATCCCCGTCGACCTCTGCACTCATATCATCTACTCCTTCATTGGAGTCACTGAAAAGTCTAATGAAGTTCTCATTATTGATCCTGAGGTATATACATGTTTTTTTCTAGAGAATGTCGATACTATTTCCTTTATTATGTTTGTGTAAAGATTAAGTACCCATTAGCAGTAAAGGAGTCCTAATCTAACCAACAGATGGAGCCGGTTATTTCCTCTATTCTCAACCACAATGTCTCCAAGATATTTATTTATTGATAGTACATTAGTTCGTGGTGACACCCATTACAGTAATTAATAATTTATATTAAAGAGCGGAATTCATTAGGCGATAGATTTATTGGCATGTCTTGGGATTTGTCTCGAAATGTGTGTGGAAATTGCAAGTGGAACATAATTTCCGAGGGCATTCGATGTACAGTAACCTACAATAGAAATGATTAGATTGTGTCTGGATATACCTACCTGTAGGGTCTTGGATTCTATTCCTATTTAGACAAGGCCTTTGACAAAGTAATTTCGCACTTATAGCTCGGTATCTGGAATTGTGTGTATGACAAGAAGCTCATTTCCTGTTACACGGTACTCAATACATAATTGACGAAAAATGGGTGTCACCAGCGTACTTCTGCCTACCTCTTTAGGTTCAACTTAATCAAATTGAAGGCGTGGCGGTGCGGTATTACCAACAATATAATGTTTATCTAAATTAATACTGTCTCTTACAGTTGGACGTAGACAAGAATGGCTTCAGCAACTTCACAGCTCTTCGCAAGTCGCATCCTGATGTTAAGTTCACGGTGGCCGTCGGTGGTTGGGCCGAGGGAGGATCCAAATACTCACATATGGTCGCACAAAAACAAACGCGAATGGCCTTCGTTAGGAGCGTTGTTGGTGAGTAGTAAAATGTTTAAACATAAATTAGTATTGAGGAAAGAAGAAGAAAACTAGATTTTCTTTAGATCTGACACTAAAGTGCTAAAATAGGTGACTAAATGTAAACTATGTTTTTAGCATGTTCAGGTAGTAAAGGGTAGCATCTTACTTGTTATATTTATGTGGAAAAAATAGTAAAAGTGTTTCCCTAAACACAAAATAAGGATGTTTGTAAAACAAAATGTATCAAGTGTCGAGTCACAGTATCGTCGTAAATTATGCGCTGTTGTGTTGTGGCTACAAAATATATATTTCCTCATACGATGCGAACATTCCTTATTTTGTTGTTAACATAGTTTCGCAAAGATACTCCCACAAGGAAAATAAAAGAAATCACAAAACGTTGGAATTTGTTTGTGGAACGGATATTTCTGTAGACTACGAGAATTGCAACGAGCAAAACGTCTGAAAGTATTAGGAAATATCTGTTTACAAAATGATCAAGCAATTGTGGTATTTATTGCGTGTTGACAACAATAAGGTAACAAAGTTAACATTGCCATGGATCGATGGATTTGTACGCAATGGACGTGGTTATACCTCAAGGGAGCTTCGAAATGATCCCAACATTTTGTTCGTGTTAACATTGTTCTCTTTACTATTACAGAGATTGTCTTTTTAAACAGCTAACACGAAAATTATATCAAGGGCGGGCATTCAATCTATTTTTCAATTTTCGCGTTACATCTCCCTAAAGTAGGCAAACAAATAAATAATATCAATATTACCGAATGTCGACTGTGTGTAAATATGATATTTGTCTTAATATCCATATCGCGATGTGGGAGATGGTTTCTTTAACTTGGAACATAATGCTTGTATTAAGTTACCGTTTTTCGTCTAGACATCTAAGTTTGGAAGTAAGATCTAGCTTTGAGTTCTTAATTAGTTTAGTGGGAGCGTCTGTTATCTTAAAGTGAAGGATATGAGGGTTTTAAACGTCTATTTAAAGACACTCTTTTCTAGACAATAAGGCAAATTTAACAATGGTTTTGCTTTTATCTAATTGTTAATTTACAGTGGATTAGCAGACTTCATTAAAATTACATTGTAGTCTTTGACTTAAGTTTAAAGTATAACTAAGAAAACCTGTTATTTTTTATAGATTTCTTGAAGAAATACGATTTTGATGGTTTGGACCTCGATTGGGAGTACCCTGGTGCTGCAGACCGTGGTGGTTCCTTCTCCGACAAGGATCGGTTCCTCTTCCTCGTCCAGGAACTAAGGAGAGCATTCATCAGGGAGAGGAGAGGCTGGGAACTGACTGCTGCCGTACCACTCGCCAACTTTAGGCTGATGGAAGGTTACCATGTGCCTGATCTTTGCCAGTAAGTGTATCTGTAACAAAAGTCTAAGTTTAAGTAATGTTTAGTTAATATAGACCAAAGATGTACGTACTATTGAACAAATCTTCTTGTTCTGAAGTAAGAATGTCTAATAAGAAAAATAAGCAAATTTGTGACACTTTGTAAAGTTTTAAAACCTTTGATTAATCGTTAGGTGCTCCAAAAATCCCCGATTCTTAAACATTTCTCTAGATATTTTGCGAAGACGAAAATCTTGAAACAGTTTAATAGTTGGGAACAGTTTTATCGTTGCAAAGTTGGTGGGCGCTTCATAAATAACGCTTGGAACGAAGAAGAAACGAAAAGAGAACAAATATTGTTCTGGAGAAGTTTAGAAGTTTCTAGGAACTAAGATTTACGTGTGTTGCAGGGAGCTGGATGCTATACACGTGATGTCTTATGATCTGCGAGGAAACTGGGCTGGATTCGCTGATGTGCACTCGCCTTTGTACAAACGTCCCCATGACCAATGGGCTTACGAGAAACTCAATGTTGTAAGTATAACAAAAATGTTCAGTTATTTGTGTACATACATACATAGAGGAATCCATTTTATAATAACGGATTTATCTGTCTAAAAATGGAAACAATATCTATTTGCTTCTCTTTCTTTTGCTATTTGACAAACTTAACGTGTAATATTTTTCCCAGAACGATGGTTTAGCTCTCTGGGAAGAAAAGGGTTGTCCAAGCAACAAGCTGGTCGTCGGTATTCCGTTCTATGGTCGCTCATTCACTCTGTCAGCTGGTAACAACAACTACGGTCTTGGTACTTACATCAACAAGGAGGCTGGAGGTGGTGACCCTGCTCCCTACACCAACGCTACTGGATTCTGGGCTTATTACGAGGTAAATTCAAGACCTGTAATTACTAGGTTGATTTAGTTGACTTTTGTTTTACACTCCTTGTAATGAACAATATCATTCCTTCAGATCTGTACCGAAGTCGACAAAGAGGGCTCAGGATGGACCAAAAAGTGGGACGAACATGGCAAGTGCCCCTACGCCTACAAGGGAACTCAATGGGTCGGTTATGAAGACCCTCGCAGTGTGGAGATCAAGATGAACTGGATCAAGGAGAAGGGATACCTCGGCGCTATGACCTGGGCTATTGACATGGATGACTTCAAAGGTCTTTGTGGCGATGAAAACCCTCTTATCAAGCTTTTGCACAAACACATGAGCACTTACAACGTACCGCCACCGCGCTCTGGAAACACTACTCCTACGGTAAGTTAGTCCCAAGAAGTCACATTAGTCAAGTCGTATAAAATTCCCAAACCACATTGTGGTACCTACTATTATACTCAATATATTATTCACATTCGAATATTCGTAAGTAATACGCCACAATAAATTGTGACTCTTATCCTTTCGCTTTTGCTAACTGGAAACCATAAATACAATTGACTAATAAAGTTTCCCGACGTTTGAACGAAATAGACATGCGCGATTAATCGCAACAGAAACAAATGGATGGTCCATTACTCATATTGATATAAATCTCAGCCTGAATGGGCGCGCCCACCGTCAACGACGTCCGACCCGTCGGAGGGAGAGCCAGTCGTGAGGCCATCTACAACCACTAAGCGGCCTACGAAGCAGCCGACCACATCGAAGCCTCCAGTCATTATTGAAGATGATGAAAATGATATTGCCGTGAGACCTGAACCACCGAAGGCTCCTGAGGCGCCAGTGGTCCCTGAATCTCCTGAAGTCCCAGAATCACCTGCTGTAAGAATTTTTCTTGTAATGAAATACTTATGTTTTAGAATACTTCTTTTTTTGAATTATTTTAACAAATGTTTTTTGCAGGAGAATGAGATCGACGACCATGATGTCTGCAACTCTGAAGAAGATTATGTGCCTGATAAGAAGAAATGCAACAAGGTAAAGTAGAAACAAATAACATAAAAATATTTTGAAAGATGTGCTTCACAAATGAGTCATTTAAATTAGCAATATCTTGCTTTTTACCACAGTACTGGCGCTGCGTCAACGGAAAGGGAATGCAGTTCACCTGCCAACCAGGAACAATGTTCAATACAAAACTGAACGTTTGCGATTGGCCCGACAACGCTGACCGTCAAGACTGCGAGCTGTAATCGTGCGTGAATAGGGCGCTTTACTGGTCATTGCAGAGATACCGTTTGATCGAAATCGCATTCTCCTTGCAAGACAGCTGATAAATTGTGTGGAGGAGCTGCGGGTTGCATACTTCAATCACAGGTGACTAGGGACGAATGTAGAGCCAAGATGGCCGTCAATAAAGAAGCAATTAGCAAATGAGCATCTGTCACATCACATGAAGCCATACTGCAAATTGTTAGCTAACGTCTATAAATTCAACATCTGTTTTGCAAGACTCAATTTTGTTAGCTTTATAAAGCTACCATTATTTAACCTATTAACTTGAAGCTACGAAAATATTAGTCATCTGTATGGGAACACAAAGGGCCGCTAATAAACCTTTGTGTGGTCAGCCTCTTGGGTGGATTTTGATAAAATGGTATCTTTCCTTTACGCAATGAATCATAATAATGGTCGTATTTACGAAGTTTTAGGTTACTGAACAATATTGTCGTATTTTGTTATGAGGCAACATAATACGCCAATGTTTTCTTGTCTCTAGTTTGTAACTGGATAGGATTATTGTGATGTTAGGCTAGACATTTACGGTTGTAAATAATATGTTTGATTTTTAGATACCCGTTTAATTGGAAACATTTAAAAACTTTCAATTAAACGATACTCTAGTAAGAAGAACAAAAATGAGATTATTAACGTAACACTGCCTAAAATCATGTACAAGACTGCGTCGCATCGATAAGATTAGAATTATTTTAAATAAGCAACGATATACGTTCATTGATATAAGCAAATATCTATCTTTAAATGTCTCCGTAGGTATATTTATACAAACAGAATAAGAAATACTATAAATAAGTCGTGAAACATGAATACTTTTATTTGTTCACTCTAGTTTGTTAAGAACTTGCAGTTTGCGTCGATAACTCCATTCAACAGTTATAAAGTTATGGCAGAAAATTGTGTTTATTTTATAAATTTTGTTTCGACGCGGAAGCCAATTAGACTTCTCCCGGCTTTGGAGATTTAAATGAATTTTCCAAGCACTTGTCGCGGCTGGTCTCTGGCTTAACCACCCTTATCTTAATTTATTTATTTTAATAATTTTAAGACAATAAATTATGGTAAAAATTTTACTGTGTTTTTGTTGTTTGTCCTTAAAAGTTTGGTGTTTTTGAATGAGTTATGGCGAGAATTGAATTATTGCGAGGTGTCCAAAAATGTTGATGTGTCGCAGTAGATAAGTACCTATATGCTGTGTACAGTCCAATAGAATATATAGAGGTAGAAAAAAGGCTGAGGGCTGGTCAATTTAAAAGCTTTTAAAGCTGAGTCAATTTAAAAGTTGTTTTTTTCTGAATTAAATGGGAAAGTTAGTATTGCGTTATCATTACTCATTAGGTAATATAATATGTTCGGACTAGTCAACAGGTACTTCCTTATAAAGTAAATGGTAAAAAGACTGTATTATTTATTGATCACACACACCTACTTGCCTGCACCATTCTTCCAATATCAACTAATTCAAACGATATTTTCTACTTAATAATATCACCTCAATATCTCATAGCACCACGGTAATCACTTTGGAACTGACTTTTAACTGAACTGTTTTCTATCATATTGCTCGTATCAAAATATCAGGCGCTTTTTCTCTTAACGAAAACGTGTTCAGAAATCCAAAGAGGTCGTATGACAGTCATGTTTAGAGGTTAAATCACATAAAATTGTATATTTTTTCGAAAGGTTACATAAGTGAAAGGTTTTCGCACCCCTAAATATTATTTGGATACGTTTTCGTTTAGCTGGTGTTCGGAATATTTGTTTATATTTTTTGTTTATCGGTAAGGTGCGGCGAGCATAACATTGCGATTAGTTTTATGATAGGCGACTTTTAAATGCCCAGTGGCGCCTATTAAAATTTAATAACAAGTCTAGATCATTCTGACCAGTAATAATCCTAATCTCATAGTGATAAGATATGTGCTCTAATAATTATTAATATCTAATTAAAATATTTAAATTGTCTTAGAAGTCGATTTTAACCAATATGTTTCCGGAATGCGCGTATCATATTTCATTAGAGCTTAAATGAATGTCCTAAAAAGTAATTATAGGATAAATTATACGGTATGAAGTGTGGGGAGTTAATTGGAATCGGATGGTGCCGCCCGACAATTTACGTTCAGAATGATGAATGACTGCCAAATATTTTTGTTTAATTTGCTGTATAACTATTAATTACTTCATTCAAAGTTGAATCAGCAGAATCTGTGCTGAGCAGCCAATTATAATAAGTAAATGGATCCGTTTAATCAACGTTATTCTTGTTTCTATTCTGAATCTTAGACAATAATCTTTGCTTTATTTCTTGCTGCTTTATTTTATACCGGTAGAATGATTTTATTTAGGAAAAAAGCGATGAGTGATTCGTTTTCTTTTATTGGTAACGTCATTATGTGCATACCTATATTGCATATGAATTTATTATGGGAATAAATACTATGGTAAACAGTTTGGTTCAAGCTTAAAACATGGTCCACAAATATTATTGTTCCCGGTCTGGGTGTCATGTGTATTTGAACTTGTATGTTTGTAAACGCACCCACGATACAGGAGAAAATCTTAATGTGGGGAACTTTAAAAAAAAAACGCATAGGCAAACCTAAAGTATAAGACGGATAAGTACTTAATTCGATGTGGTTTAGTATTTTTAGGCGAAATATGTTGAAATATGTGTCAGTTAAGCTAACATCAATCTAATCAGATATTATAAAACACAGGCCCCTAAGATCTTAATATAAAGACATGTTTACAAAAAGATTCATGTCTGCCACGCGATTACATCTCCGAACACCCACAGCTTCAAAGTTTGAGGCCCGCTAAAGTGAACACAAATTATCAGCTCGTTAAGCATTAATTAATTCGCTACAAAGGTTCTCACGTTTTGTTATATTTTACGTATTATATTGTTAGTATAATATCTGGCGAATTGATTATCATAATATCGAACTTCCTTATAGTAAACAACTTGTGTATGTATAATATATCGTATATTTGTATGTTTGTCGCGTGGGCGCTGGCTTTAATATAAGCATCTTATAAGTTTTCTCTTTTCGTCTTACTTTACGTCTATTTTTGTTGAATTTCTACCAGTTTTGTTCGGTTTTGAGGTTGTAAATGTGTGGGCTTGGTTTATTAACAAGGAATTACTTACATCCTTTCCAATAAAGCGCCTCCAGTAATAGAATAAGACCTTTGTATGAATGCCGGTTGAGACTATAATATCTTAACTTTGGTATGAAGGTGCGTAGGCACATACTTGTAGCTCATAATATAGACTGTTGATGAAGCGAAAGACGTATGTAAAAATTATAACAATTGGTGTTCCATGGTCTCTGCCTACCGCCATGCGAGACATGCGTGAGGTTATGTATGTAAGTACTTATGTAGAGGTATAACTAGCTAATCAAAATGTTCCATGTAGGTACAACATACAACAGTGACTATAATTGGAAATATCCAAAATAATTTAGCCTTTCAGGAATAATTCTAGACGCAATTACAAAATCAAAGATTCAATTCAATTTTCCTCACTTTCATGTAGCATTAGGTAACAAGGTTCAAAATCGAAGAAATAAAAAATGTATAATGAAAGGTACTTAGAAGTGCTTGTGCCTAAGCTTAACCTTTTTGATATTAAAGCCTTATTTATTTTGCCAAGATACATTACACGTTTATGTTTGTTTAACGAAAAAACATTTATATTGTAATTTCATTGAAGTTTATACACCTACTTAGCTGGTATCAATTACGCAGGGCCGGATTTTAGGTTTGAAGGCCCGGGGGCTGCTGAAAGTATTTCGGGAACAAAATTAATTGTCCCAAGTTTTTATTAGGTAACTACGTAAAAGTGTGTCATGAATGTGTATTATTTTTTACTTAACTTTTTTAAGAAGCGTGTTTAAGAGTCCTCGTAAGTAAAGGTTCATTTCTTGGGGGCCTCGAGGCGGTCTCCGCCCCTTATGGTGTCCTTTTAACACGGTATAAATTATTTATATCTTTTTAAAAGAAAAACGGAAACATAATTTGTAGGTGCCTTGATATTATCATTCTTTGAAGTGTTAAACGAAGAAATTAGGTCAGAGTCGTACTTTCTTTTTGCTTTTATGTATACCAGAATTCCGGATAAAAACGCGATAAAAAAAAAGATTACAAAAAATTTAACATTATCAGAAATTTAAATAGGTATAAATGAAGAAAAAATATAAGTTCATTTGAAAAAATCTAACAAAAAATTTGGGCTCGTCCGGGATTTGAACCCGGGACCTCTCGCACCCTAAGCGAAAATCATACCCCTAGACCAACGAGCCAGCTATTAGAAATGTTGAAATAGTGGTTCTACACACGGTTAAGACTTGTTTAAAAAAAAGAAAGTCGTCTATGCGTGTAGTTTATGGTTCACTGTCACAGAATATATGCCGCCAACTTCGAAATCTTGTGCGTTCGTAATAACATCAGTTATAGAATGAGGTATATACATAATGTAGTAGAATAAAATTATTAAATCTAATACTTTTAATGAAATTATATAAACTAGTTTGATAATTTAGTCGAGTGCTTTAAATTTTTATGTTGGCTCAATTCAAGACATTTATAAAAAAATTATTTGTGATATTATATCTATGAATAAATTGATAATGAACATTTTATTAGGATTTTCCTCAACAGACACTTAGCTGCGTCTTTCAAATATTACTTTCTTCTACATTTTGTAAATATTCCAAAGGTGTTTAATAAAAATGTATTCTCTCATTATACTTGAGTTATAAATAAATCGTTTTGTGGTCTATTTTTATAACAAGAAAGGGTGATGACGTCATAACATACCATGTGTGGATACTTCACATTGTTAAACCGGATTTGATCAAGGAATATTAATATGCTTTTCTTAATAGTATTCTGGAATGGAATAACACGATGTTTTTTTCTTAGAGGGATCTCGCAATCGAAAATCGCAAAAAAAAAG